TATACACTGGGCCTACGGTTTATAGTCCGTATCCGAGAAGACTTGTTCTACCACCAGAACCATAGGTGAGCGTGCCGTTCGAACCAGCGCCGATGTTATGGCTATAGCTTGCGGCGCCCCTGCTAACCGCTCGGCCATTCGACTCACCGTCGTGTACCACCATCGACATTGTCGGCGTCATAATCATCATTATCGTTTACAAATTAAGCCATTATGTTTGCAATTCTTACCTCTTAGTGTTCTTCTTCCTATAATCGTAAAAACAATGATTGTATATTAGAAAGTGCACATGTTTATAGTTAAAGTTAATATTGTTTATAGTTAGTAGTATTTAATAGCACATACTCAAAGTATATTTATACTATTACTCGATTATTTTTAAATAAAATTTAAAAATATGTTTTTGTATTATACACTTAATTATACATTTATTAATTATATTATTCTTATTATCCTTTATTTCTGTTTAATAACTTCGAAAAATTGTATTTTCATGGTTATGGTTCAGGTTCTGGTTCTGGTGAGCAAAGCAGACATGGACTTAAAATGTAGATGTAAACAGGAATTTAGAAATAAATTAGAGTGATATGAGAGATTTATCGCCTTATTTTCAAAACGCACCAGCCTCTGGCTGGATTTTAATTTTCAACAAAGTCTCAAAGGCCCAGTTAGTTAAGGCTTCTGCATAGACAGGATTGGGGTTGAAAAAGTCTGGGGTTCTATTTTCCGGGTCTAGGGTTCAATTCCTGTTACGCTGGGATAAGGCAATCCTTTTTCTCATTGTAATATTTGTATTTTTATTATTTTATCTAATACTCTGCTTACTAAATTTATTTGGAAATCGTCAGAAAAAATAAGTGGAAAACAAATATGTAAAAACCATAATGAAGGTGGCATTAATAGTTGTCATGCACGTGCATCAATGACTAGTGTAGCCTAACTACATGCGCAAGAGTGCGAAGAATTAGTTGTGTGTGCATAGACAGCAAAGGTCCCGGGTTCTTATCTCGGTTGATGCAACTTTTTGTTTTTGTCACACACTCAGTTTTCTTTAACGTTCATTATTTATTCAGACGTCTTAACCAAGATATTGATGCTTTTTCGGGAATTCAAATCAGATGAAACAACTAATTCTTCACACTCTTGCGCATGCATGGCAATTAACAGGGATCAGTATGATACACCCTCGTCTAATAATAATTTGACGACAAGATGGGATCTCCGAAGATTCTTTTTTGTAAACATATCATGATATAATTTTATATATTTAATGAAGACCAACGGTCTGTAACTGGCGCTATACATTTGCTCAAATTATATGATAGATTTTACCTGATATACAACCAACTATTTCAAATCGCATGCATATTTCATTTACCCATGAAGTTGGCAGAATGCGTACATATTTCGCTGTGATAGTTATAGGAAACCTAATAAACCGTGTGGATTGTGTAATCGTTCCTGGAAAAACCTGAAATTGAAATCGATATATATTGTATCTAATTATGATTCTGCATCTTTGGTGTGTTGGTAGCGCAAAATAGCGTAAAATCGGTAATTATTGCCAAATAAATTAAAGTATATTGTTAAAAAATTAAAGTATATTATTAGAAAACCTTTATGGCAGGTTTGCGAAACAAAATAAAATAATAGTCTCGCCTGTTGAGAATTGTACTCTATTTCTTTTTCCCCCCTCATATAAAACTAAAATTTCTGTCAATAAATGGCCTGTTTTTAACTAATTAGATTGAAGCATATGGTTCTTTCTAAAAAAAATGTTTGTAGTGAAATATGCAGGGAATTTGGCTTTAATCATTTTTATGGCAACATACTGTAAAGGTACGTTCACATCAAGCCCGGATCCGGTCCGCAGCAAGGACAAAAAAAAAAAAAAATCGTTTTTTGAAAGCTGCGTTCACATTGCGCACGGAACACGGTTTGTTCGGGTTAAGTACGTATGCGTTCGATTGGTTTGAACCAACCAAGCTTGTTGCTGATTGGTCCAAGAAAAAAAAAACCGTACGATTTCAGGATACAAATGGCTCTCAGATCCATTGGTCTGGATCCGGAGTCAGGATTGGAAATCGTACGAATTTGATGTGAACGTTCCAATTCTTTACCACTGAAACCATTTTCACGATTTTTTTCTCCGCGGATTCTAGACCGGAATCCGGGCTCGATGTGAACGTAGCTTAAACCTGATGCTCATATTAGGACTCGCAAAAGGGCCACCTTTGTCGGCCTTTTGTGAGGATATGAGTACTGAGGGCGGGTCCACTGCAAGAGGAACACAGAAATAAAAAAGGCACTCTTGTTTTAAATTACCGTCTTCTGTTTTTCACTCTTCCCATCCTTTTAGAGACCGTCGCCGAACACCACCATCTGTTGATCAGCCCAATTATCTTTAGATAATCAGTCTTTTAAGCCATCGAGTCCGCCAAATATTCAAGCACTGTATTGCCATATACAAGATTAATACTCTAAAACAGTGGCGGATCCAGGAATTTCAAAATAGAGAAGCCCAGAGAGGGAATTAACAGATAGAGGGTCTATGCTACCTCAGCTCACCATGGTTGGGTCTGAGGCACCTCTTGATGGCTGGAAATGGTACTCTCAGACTCATACTTTGAGTAGAGTTTTCTTTTTTCTCAATTTAGTTCCCCCTTATACCCGCTACTGTAAACTACATTACGGAATACTGATACATTTTAGAAAGGCATTTGCAAATGAGAAACACAATACCCTTTAAATAAAGAACTTTGCCAATAATTTTGATTATTATATTGAGAAAAGCAGGTAATATAACTTATTTAAAGAATAATAAAGTAAAAATGAATTATACCATAGAGGTATGCAATTTTATACATCCATGATTATACCATACATGCTAAAATGTTGTGACATTCCTTATTCGTCACGTATTGACTTATTTTAGTGACTAACATGGTCACTTTTTAATATATTATACCATATTCCATTACCAGAAAGCCGATATATAGTGATTTTTTTTATAGGTGTCAGCAGCCTTTCGCTGGTTGTGATGTAGCTGGTCCAGATATTTTCAAGAAGGGGTTCAGAACTTCTGTACATATAACATAAGTTTAAATAAGTTTAAATGACTTGGGGAAACCGCATTCTTTCCAGTCATCCTCCCATATTGTGAGAGACTTAAAAGGGATTTTCATAATGACAGTCCGCCTATAAAGAAGAAAAAATCTTCTGACTATTTACCTAACATCTGTACACTTTTTTGTTAACAAGAAAATACCCTAACATGTTAACGGTGGTAAGGGGTCCGGAAGTTCCATATGGTTCCACCCAGAAGTATCATTTATTTAAGTAATCATTCTGTGTGAAGCCCAGTCGGGCAGAAACTGCAAGTATTGCCATATTAACAGAATATTCTAAAGCATAATATTGAATGTTGCTACGTATTAAACTATAATTTTTATAAAGACCTTGGCAAATGAAAGTAAATTACCGTTTTTAAATAAAGAGTAACATGAATGAATATTAAATTTGTATATAATGTTAAAGCAGATACCGATAGGCCTACTGATAAATAATATGGTAAATATGGATTGTACAATACCGTCCATAAATAAAAATGTTGTGATTGATTTATATATTCCTTATTCGTCAAATATTGAATAACTGTAGTGATTAACATGGTCATTTTATAATATATTTATTCTATAACATTTCATATCAGCCGCACTCAATGAAGTATGCATACTGTATGCTGCACCTTTCAGTACTAACGTAGTTTGAAAAATGAATTCTCACATGTGTTGTTTTGTAGCGTGACACGTCCTCGTCCAATTTTTTGTGGAATAATGTCATTGAAAAAACATTTTTATAATATTTTAATGAAAATATATAGAATCTTAAAATATGCAAGTAATTATAAGACATTTAAAAGAATGGTACTACAATATAGTTTTTCCAGAGCTGTGCAAGCGTCTGGACGGTAAATCGGCACCAACATTTTTCCTTACTCAAATTTTCAAATTTGTGTATGATTATAAGGGGGCGGAGGAAACAGTATTAAACATAATTATGCAATATAAAGAAAATTCAAATACCTTTGGATTACCGTAAGCATTGCGTATTGTTTCCCATACCAATTTATCGTGGCTGTGCATAACTTGGAATGAAGTCACTTGAGACAGATACTTTAGAGGTTTCTGAATAATCACTCCTGTAACATTATGTAAGTGACCGAGATTCACTTGAATCCAGAGTCCTTGGTGTGTATCAGAAACGCACCAGTCATCACTATCCGACGTTCTCAGGTTAAGCCGTGCATGTTCAGGCCCACGACCTGTGATTGATTCACCGGACGACTCAATAAAACTCGATGGAATATATCCAGATTCTAAACCAAGCCCATCCGTACAGTTACCTTTGAAATTAAAAATTCACAAAATATATGAATATTATAACATCATTTAAAATTGAATATTAGTCAAAGTAATTATTGAATATTATTACCTCTAACATAAATTAGTCTACATATTTTATTCGTTATTCAATAACAATACTAAACATAATAATAAATGATAATGATAGTAATGATGGTTTTAATATTATTAATGATGTTTATAATAACGTTCATAATGAGTTTCATGAAGAATAATGATGATAAGGAAACAGAGCACTTGATTTTTCTCATTGCCATAATGAGAACAGACGCTGAAAGAATATAGCATTATTTAAATTAAAAAATCAAAGTAAAATATACATGAAAAAAAAAATCATATAAAAAAACAAAACAAAAAAAAAACAAAAAATTTTTTTTATGAAGGGAACGCGAGTTACAACTTGGTAAATCACTTAGAAGTGTTTCAAATCTCAATTTTCAAATATTATCAGATGTGCTAAAGCTAATGGATAGTGGAAGTAAAGCCTGAAGTTTTTCAAGGAAAAGTACCGGTACGCTCACGATGTGCATGTTGCGCCTGTGGAATCGCCGCTGGCTGAGGTACAGGCCAAGGCATACTTTTATGTAGGTAAAAAATATATTATTATTCATTCATTGGTTCATCCTTTATTCAGCCAAACAAGATTATAATATAATTTACACAGTTAAACAACAGAAATAACAAACAAATTGTAATATAACCTAAGATGGCTAAGATTGATGATAGTGACGGACACTTGTATTTTAAGCTCGAAAGCCCATTAACTCTGTCATGAAAAACCAGCAATGTTGGTGTCCCTAAAGGCATTCTTGGCGTTCCATACTTGTTATTGTAAACTTACTTGGTGCATGCAGATGGTCGACTAATATGCAAATTGGTCTTGGTACGGGGTTATGTGATGCTAGTGAGGGTTTTGTTTCAGTGTACTGCAGGGACATGTGTGTGCCGGTAGTAATCACAGTGGTGGTAAGGTTTTAGTCTCAACGGTTGTGGAATCCGTTTGGGAGTTAGCCGAGGCTAACAGTGGCCTTACTTGGTAATACACTGAAACAATTTACTCCTGGTTAGCCGTTGTGACGGTGAGTAAAACTGTACAATTAATTATTGCTATGCTAGGCCTAATTTTTGTGAGTAGTATTGATAATTATATCGGTTATTAAAGGCTCTAAAGTGCCCACATTACCATGATCTTGGTGTTCAAGGAATCTAATATAACATATATGAAATACCATTTAATACATGTTCATTGTAAAAATACAAAACTAAATGTGACATTCAAAATTGTCCTAAAAAAAAAAAAAAACAAAACAAAACAAAAACAAATGTCTTTTGCTATTAAAACGAGTGCCCTTAGTAATATGACCATGGATGGTGTCAATACCCATGTTTTTCAGGTCAATGAAACTACAAGTTTAAAATTCAAAACAAGGTTTTCGGCAATAAAATGAAAATGGCCTCTAAAAATGGAGGCTTTTTTTCGATTCTCTGAATTTGCCTTAATCACGGACCCTCTTTAACCACAAATTGTCGGGGAGAAAACATTTATATGTATTTTCTACATATTAGTAAACACTAACATCAATTAAATAAGCCATTTAACCCATTCATCCTCGCGTTTTTCTTTCTTTAAAAAAATTTTTTTAGTGACATAAAAATAATTAAATATAATTTTTTCTGTTGGAGTAATACAAATTCCTTTGATAAGAATTGAAAGATAATAAAATGTTTTTCCTAAATAAGTGGTTATATAGTGTTGTGAAATTTTTAAAATAAAAAAAAAAAGTAATTATTTAAATAATTCTTTAGGCCCTGTTTATCAATAATTTTGAAAAAAAAAGATTAAAAATACTAATTCAACAGTCAGAATAAATAAATGCATCTTCAAATCAGCACAAATTATTCCTTTACAAAATAAAACTAAATTTGTAATTTTTGATCAAAAACTTCGGAAGATAAAAAAATAATATAAAATTTCACCTCAGGGGGGCCTAAGCCAATTCCCCTAGGCCTACGAGCCGGTTTAGTCACCTTCACTGCACTACGCACCGTAGCCTGAAAAAGCCTAACTTACCCCGCGATGTAAAATCCATAAATCAATTATTCGCCTAGCGCCCATACAAAGACGTGGGAAAACGCACCTATAATCTTTCAAAAATCCGGTTGGTATAAAAAAAAAATTATAAAAAATATGAAAAATTACAATAATATAGGCGATCAAGGTGTCATTTTCGAGCTCTTGACAAGATGGATCTCAACGTCATGATTGCGCATGTCACAGGGAAACCAAAAAGTTCGAAAGTTCAACGGTCATGTCAGGGTTCGTTTTCATTTTTGTAAACAACCAAGATGGTGCTGACGAAGTTGATAGCCACGTTTTTTTTTCAGCCACAAAAAACATTAATTTTACGTGGAAATATGAGGATATAATAACCAAAACTGGTACAGTATGTATATTGAATATATTTTTATATTATAGGAAAGTGTCAGATTTGTTACTTTTTGAAAAAAAGTGTATTTTTAGACGATTTTATTCATCAGTGTTGACGGCGGCGCCTTCCCGTTCAATGGTATCATATTACAAAAATAACGATCATATTTCATATTTTTAATTACTCTAATCATTCAAGTTAATTAAAAAAGCACCAAGAAACATTTTTTTATAAAAATTTTTGATACTTTCTCGAATATTTAATGAAAATACATGCACACATTACTGCACATACGTTTTTTTAAAAATTATTGTTAATTAATTAATTACTGACGATAATTAGAGAGCGCTTAAAGCGATTATGGGACTGAAAGGGTTAAACCCCGAAATTGTCAAAAATTTCGGGCCTTCACCATTTAAAGTGAAACTTGACCACGCCCTCTTTGCTCTCGTCGGGAAAATCTTCCCCTGTCAGGTGCATCACCCACCCCCGTCGTTGACCTCGGACCCCCGTCGACAATGGTCCTTTTCTAACTTTCATCCATTTGAGTGTTATTGAGGTCAAACTTCCCAGCCTGGTCACTACTAGAAGCAGGAACCTTACCACTTAATTTAGCTTAACATTCAAGTGAACCATGTAGGCCTACCGTACCCATTTTTGTTTCTATTACAGTTGGTTTGAAACTTAAAGAATGGCCAGAATGCGTCATCATTTCCCATATCTAACCTCTCAGAATTGGTTGCTGCTCTCAAAGAACTTTATGTTTCCCATTATTTATTGTGGGATACAAAGCATCACTGAGTCTTGAACCGTGCGCTTAAACCTACCATGCAATCATGGTCTGAATAACGCTTCAGGATGGAAGTCTTGTCTGTAGAGAGTGGCCTTTAACACTGCACAAAATGTTTTGGATCCGGTATGAAGAGATACACACTGCCATCAGTTGCTGTATCTGCATAAAGCTGAGTCTTTGCTGCGAGGGTTATTCACCACTTGTTTTTGACTTCTCTTTACGCCGAAAGTTGCTGCAGGTATGGTGAAAAGCAATTGGTTTTATAAAGGACAGTATAGCTGATTAAGATGTGTCTGGTGGACGGATGCCTTTATTGCCAGCAAATATTGGATCTCCTTGTCATTTTCTTTAAACCAGTCTTTGTGTTTCTTTCCTTGAACTGGTGGATACCAGTTGTTAGGTGTGGCAAAACAATTTTGGAGAGGAGTCAGTGTAACTTGCATTCTTAAACTTTGATTGAAGTTTCACATTGATATCAGCTCTCATTGCAGCTGAATGGAAGTTGCCAACCTGAAACTTCTCCCTTTGAGTGCCTCGAAGATGATGACCCAGCCATTTGTGGGAGTGTTCCGTACGACGCTGATCAGATCAGTGTAAATCTTCTTTTGAAACTGACATTGTTCCCGATAAACTTAAAATTGCTAAGGTTATCCCCGTTTACAAAAAAAGGAAAACAAAAATTGTTAAGGTTATCCCAGTTTACAAAAAAGGAAAACATGATGAAATTACTAATTACCAGCCGATATCTGTGCTACCTGTTTTTTTCTCTAAAATTTTTGAGAAGGCAATGCATGATAGACTTTATGATTACCTAACTAAATATAAAATATTAAACCCCTACCAATACGGATTCCGTGCTAAACACTGCACCTCGCATGCCATCCTTAAACTATCCTAACTTCTTTTGAATCAAATATATTTCTTGCCAGTGTTTTTATGGACCTGTCAAAAGCTTTTGATGTAATGAATCATAATATATTGATACAAAAGATTCATCATTACGGTATAAGGGGCACATGCTTGAAATGGTTCATGAGTTACCTAGAAGGCATAAAACATTTTGTCAGCATAAATGATATAAAATCAGCACTATCTGAAATTACTTGTGGGGTCCTCCAGGGGTCGATTAAGGCCCTTTGCTATTTATACTGTATGTAAACGGTATATGCAATGTTAGCAATGTAGTTAAGGTACGGTAATCTCTTACGCAGATGATACCACTGTCTATTATAAAACTAAAAATGTTACTAATTTAACCCATACATTGAACTTTGAACTTTCAAAATTTAATGAATTGTTTAAAGCAAATAAACTTGTCTTAAATGTAAATAAAACAAACTTTATTATTTTCCAAACACAAAACATATTAAAACAGTCACAAAATATCTCTATCGAAATAAATGGTATAAACCTAAAAAGAATGGATAGGTATTGTTATAAACGAAAATTTAAGATGGAAACCCCACATTCAATATTTATGCAACCAAATACCTAAGGCCATTGGTATCATCTGTAAAGTAAAAAACATATTTCCTGTACATACACTAATAGGTTTATATAACGCCTTTATCTTGCCACACCTTCAATATGGGAACGTTATATGGGGAAATTACTACACAACACAATCATATTGAAAAGCTACATAAGTTACAAAAATTAGCAGTTAGACTAATAACAAATTCACGTCCATTATTGAAACAATTTAATATGCTTACAATCTTTGATATAAATAAGGTACAGGCAGTATGTTGATATTCCT